TTAAGAGTTTACAATTTAGAGTTTTAAGTTAGAGATACGATATAGAATGATGCGATTGGAATAACTTCGAAAGTTAAATTAATGTGAAAATACTATAAGAACGAAATAATAAATTAATTCAACTATAAGATTAAAAAGTGATACTTCAATTTTTTTTAAATTTTGTAAGAAAATAAATATGGGATACGTATATTTATAAAGTGGTCCAAAATGTTTGCATGGCAGCCAGATGTCTTGTAAATTGTATTTCTTCCACACGTTAGCTTAGCACCGTTTATTTTGTTTTCTTTCAGGAAAAAATTTTGAAAAGTTTCCAATGGGGTTTGGGCCCCCACTTATTCCCAACCGCGAAGTCCAGTGTGATGACTGGTAAATCAAACGGCTCATATCAATCCAACTATATCCATACCCTACATCTCATTACACAGTCTTCGTTGTCATTTACCGTAAGAATCCCACCTGCGTACGCCACGTTTCTTTCTCTAACGAAAGAATAATATTTCCCAAATTCCAAAGGAAAATTTTAGAAAACAAAAAAGGGTTGAAACAGAAAGAAAAAAGCGTTTTTCTTTTCTTTCTTTGTATTTTCTTTGCTTGTATTAATTGGGAACTTGAAACGCTTAACCTACATTGAAAAACACCTTGCTTCCTTTACGTTCCGTTTTCCGGTTCCAGAACGCGCTTCATCACCTACGTTCAGCGTCTCTCAGATCATCCGGGAAACCCCACAAAAGAAAATTACCTCTTGATCAGTTTCACGTTATTTCAATAAAATTCTCCAATTTTCCGTTTTTTTTAAATCAAGAACGACTGTATTTTCAACCCCGGGATTTGCCATTACTTAAAAATCGTTTTCTTCGATAAGAGTATCATAAAAAATTGTTATTTTTGGGAGGGATGTATTAAAGAGAAAAAAATGATGGGGGAGGGAAAGGCCGGAAGGAGGATCCATTGGTGATTAACAGCACCAATGTTTTTGCTGCACTGGGGAGTTTGAAGAAGAAGGGAAACGAAAAGGAAAACTGGGTTCTTCTTCTAAGAACAAAGGGTTGAAAGGATTGGGGAAGGAAGCCGAGAAGAAAGAGGTGTTTTGGGCCCCATCGCCTCTCACGGTGAAGTCTTGGGCTGATGTTGATGAGGAAGACGATGATGATTATTATGCCTCATCGGCTCCTCTTGGCTCTGCTTGTGGCATTCCTAAACAACCTGAGCCTGTTTAGAGGTCAGTTTTTTTTTTCAATGTATGGTGTTTATGATTAGACGATGAACTTCTGTTTTGATTTTAATATTTGTGTGGTATTTGGATTATCTTAATGATCAGAAGATTTGGTGTTATGTGATTATTTTGGTGATAATAGATAGGATGCCATGTAGTATGTATGAATGTGGCTTGTGTTATTTTTCCTATTATATACACTGTAATTGGAATATGATGGATGGTGATTATGCTTCATATTGAGGAAATTGTTGTTACTTAGAAAATGTTTTAAATTCTATGTGCTTTTTGACCAAAATTTCTTGTAATTTTTAAGCTTTGTTGCGCCAGATATGATGAACTAATCTTGTACTGTGGATGCAATAGTGCTTGTGGATATCCTCATGAACAAATGATGTTGATATGTGATAACATGCTGTATGTAGTTGCCAAGGTAGTTTTTGCCTCCAGTTCCGTAGGATGTTGCTGAATGTTTCTCTTGATTTGATCATTCATTTGGTTCTGTGTTGAACTGAAATTAAACTTGATTGATGAAGCTAACACGTGTATGGTGTCGTGTTTGAGGTTCCACTCTCTTTATGATTACATATTCACTCTTATCATTTAATCATATGAAACTAAACATGATTTTTCAATAAACACTTGGTTATGTCCTGTGGTTGACTGTTGGACGCCTTTTACATTTGTATTTAGGCATTTTTTGTTCATTTCGGATATGGTTATTGTTCAATATAATGACAATCAAATTACAAAATATTTAAGATGCATACAAAATATGTTGCCTGTTGATGTGCGTGGAATGCCTTCCCAAAGTGATCTCTGGAACATCATCATTGTATTTCTTGTTATCATTGGCATCAGTACTTTTGTTTAACAGATTGTTATGTTTTATTTTACTTTGCTCTCCAGGAAAGTGAAAATGACAAAGATGGTCTTGACGAAGTGGACGATGATGCTGAAGAAGAACTGAAACGAAGCTGAGACTCAGGCAGAAGTGGAGTCGGTTATTAGCAACCTCCTGAACCCTTTGTCGTCAATAAGAGGCTGAGAAAACGCTTTCAAAGAAGGAGCTGAAGAAGAAGGAGCTTGAGGAACTTGATGCTGTTCTTGCTGAGTTAGGACTTACAAAACCAAAGGCAGGTGATGCGAATGACTCCCAAGGTAACATCCTGCTTATGCTGATAGTTTCATTCTAAGAAAGATATGTTTCATTTATGCAACGAGGCTAATTTTAAACCGAGACTTAACGTCAATGGTGCAGTGTTTTTGATGCTTACTATTTTCTGTTCATTTCTAGATTGATTTCTTGGTAGTTTCTTCGCTTGCTCTTACACAAGGCGATATTTTTCCTGATTGCAGGTGCTGAACAGGGAAAGACCAGAGATCTATGGGAAAATTAAAAGAAAGAGAATGCTCCTGCTGAGAGCAAGAGTGCCAAAAGAAGAAAAAGAAGGAAAATCATTGAAGGAGGTGAAAGAATCATTGCAGGACTGCCTGAAAGCACTGATGACAATGAAAGCGGTGAAACCAACAGCTGGAACAGTCATCTCCTGTGGATGTGAAGGAGAAGCTGAAAAAAGCAGCTCCAGGGAAGAAAAAAATCGAGTAAAGAGATGGATGCTGCTTCACGTGCTGCTGCGAATGAGGCTGCTGCAAGGAGTGCAGGCTTGCTGCTGCAAAGAAGCAAGAGAAGAACCACTACAATCAGCAGCCAGTGCGGTAAAGTAGCACAGGAGATTTGGTTTTGCTTTTATCATTTAACCTCAGATGTGGACATTTAACCCTCTTCGGTTCGGTTTTGTTAATTTGGAATAAAACTTCAGTGAAATTTGAATAATTTTAACATGAGAGTTATGAAATCTGTTGATTTTAGGCATTTGGTTCCGTTTCATGTTTCTCTTGGATGGTACTATGGAGTAGTTTAAAGTTAGTACTACTTTATATGGATGGTTACTGCTATATCTCTTCAAGACTTTGTCAGTGTTTGCACATTTAAGACAAGGCATTAAAAGGGAGAAATGTATAATGTAATGAATACTGTTTTGTTTTTGTACGAGTATACTAAGGTGTATGCTCATATATCATCACATGATTTTAAACACGTTAGTTATTGTCCTTTACTGTGATGAATTTTATTCATGTAAATTAGAGTATAAGAATTCCTTTTGAAGCTATAATTATAGGAATAGGATAAACTACCGAGGTATATTGTTTAATCACTTAATTTTATTTTAGCATTGAATTTTAGTTTAGAGTTGAACTAGGATATCATATCATTAAATTATTAAAGAGAAAAAAAGCGCATTGAATTGCTTAATAACTTAGCTTCATTCCATTCAAAGTAAGACATTCTGACTTATGATTGTTATTATTTGAAAATTAGAAAACAAAACATAATAGCCACTCCACTCTCATGCACAACCTACATTAAGCTATTATCCTGTGTCAATTTGTTGCACGAATAAGACATTGTTGTGGTAATAACTATCATGTCAAGATGGATTCCTCACATGAAAACCCATGCCATCAACGCAAGGCAATTTGCTCCCACAAATACCTTCACTTTGTCCCCATTAATGCTGCTAGGGTTGCCTTCGATACAGAGTTCGAACTTGTCCCACTCAAGAAGAAGAACAAGAGGAGGTTGACTGGTGAATCTGGTGAAAGGTTCAGGATACATACCCAAGCTCATCAGGAAAAGAACAGCAGTTGGCTTCATGTTTTTTTTTTCTTAAAACTTGAATTAGAAGATTGTGTTTTTAGGAGACATATTAGGGCAATTAGACACTGGCATCAATGTTGCAAGCGGGGATGGCATTTGAAGAGCCGAAGTGGTGTTAACCGGAAGGCCTAGAGAAGGGTCGATGCTCGGCACAAGCACTTGGGCTTGGTGGTCTTCACTTTCTGAGTGTCTTGGCAACACTGCTGCTGGTTTCTTTGCAGTCCCACTCACAAAAGGGATGCAAGATGCCAGATTTTGCAAGCTGCTCACCACATTCCTTCTTCTCACCCATATTTGACATGATGCCACTACAAACCATACCACCACCATCTTTAATGACAAACACTATAAATTCTTTATTGATATCCTCGAGTTAAGCACTATAAATTCTTTGTTGGTGACAAGAGATTCAACTAGAAATCTAGAAATCGTACTATGTTGTTAATTTATCAGCTTACCATACGAATTAGAATCAATGGGCTCACCTTCACAAAAGTTTTAACTATCATATCTATTAAATTGATTAAAAGGGTTGATATCAACAGATTGTATTTCAAGTATGATGATATCCTTTGTATGTCTAACCTTTTCATTTTAGATTTCTTCTTTCCTTTTTCCCTCTTCTCATTTTTTTGCCAACATTATTGATCTGATTCAATAGCAGAAGGTAACCGGGACAGGAATGTACTCGGAAGAGCAATTACCTACTTGGGTAATACCATTAACAAAAACAGAAAACAAAAACCCTTATTTCTTCAACAAAATCGTGCATTTGCAAAGAGGACAGAGCGCTTTCATCTTGAGCCATTTATCTACACAGTTTTTATGGAAGACATGAGAGCAAGGGAGCTCCTCAGCACTTCATTATCCGCGTAATTCGTCAAACAAATGCAGCAAACCTGCATATTGATGATATAGATTTAGCTGACTGGAAATTTCCGGTTGATAACAAAACAATGTAAAGTATGTAATCATAATGCTTCCTCGAGCATTAAGCATAAGTAATCAATCTTATGAGCAAGGCATTCCGGAACTTACAGCATCATCCCGTGGAATAGCACAGTCCTTCTCGGCTCCTGCTGCTTCAGCCCCTCCTTTAACTTCAGAATTAATTTTCTTTATGATGCCAGTACCATCTTTCAGCAACTTGAAAGTGTATGTTGGCAGAGAATCGATGCATTCTGAAGGGGCTCCTCTAATTAGACCAAGGTCCCCACAGCAGCATGCCAAAACCACAACCAGGATGAAGGGAATAATAAAATTGAGATAGCTGAAGACAAGAAACATTATGCATAATCTGCAGTGGAGCCAAAGAAACCGGTTGATTTCCAGATAAGAGAAAAGCCAACGACTAGTATAATACTTGTACAGGTAAGTGTTGACACCTGTGCAAATTTGAAGCTCCTGATGAAGAGTGACCTCCAAATAGCCAAACATTTCCAATAACAAACCACACAAAAAAGTATGCTTTTAGCACCCATTTGAAGTGCTCCAATAATCTGTTAAGCCTGCCAAGTTACCGTGCAAAAAATGCATCGGCAATTGCATATAACTGATTTAAGTTATGCATAAAACATTCTGAAAAGCAAATGTTACGACCAAACCAAAAGGTGCTTATAAAAAACCAAATATAATACAAACTGTCTGAGGCTTAAATTTACACCAGAATATGTTCAACTCTTTCTTAACATAAGCACAGCAAAAAGTAGGTTTTCTTTAATGTCTATCCTATTTTCAGTAACATCAGCAGTAACTGTGAAGATCATCTGAAGAAAACACAACACTGTACAGAAAAGAGCACCACTCTCATTGAAAATACACAATGTAAAACATAAAACATGTTCTACGGATCAAAAGCAATTTTCTTCTGATATTAGACATTCTAACACACAGATTATACTCAGAACCGAAGGGAATTGTGTGCTTTGCAATGAATCAATGGAATCTAGGAACCACTTGTTCTTTGAATGCTCCACTGCTTCTTTTTTATGGAACAAAATTCTGCTTCTCAGCAGTATTAACAAACTCGCTCATCATGGGAGGCATTGCTAGCTTGGGCTTATAGTTCTTGGAAAGGAAAGTCACTCTTATCTACTATTCTTAAGCTTGCATGGTGCGCCTTTATATATTTTGTGGGAAGAGCGCACCAAAGAATTTTTAAAGGATGCTCCTGAACCAATGAAGATCTCCTAACTTGGATCAAAGAATTTGTAGGAATCAAACTTAGGGGGAAAAACTTCAATAGGATTGATAGAATTAATTCTAACCTCTGTATTTCATGGGGTTTATATTAAAACCGATCTGCTGTTTTTGTATGTAGACTGTATATAATGTTGAGATGGGTATTTTTGTAGCATTCTATGCTTCTTTGGGTAATAAAATTGATGAATCATCCAAAAAAATAAAGTCGAATGATCCAGAAACTGAGACATGTAAAGGAGATCATGCAACATGATTCAGAAACTTCAAGAACGTGAGTCCACGTTAAAAGGAGAAAGTTAAACAATCTCAAGGGTTGGTAACTTCTATTGGAGACAACGGCAAAATTTCCAAAACTCTCAAATTCCGTTCTTCTAAGCTAGCTAGTATCCAGCATGTATGGAGAGAATGAAATAGACAAAAGGCAAAGTAGATGAAGATCTATAATTCAAGCAAATGATTCCACACCAAGAAGAATATAACACTGAGAAACCATCTTAAAGTGCAAACTGCCAAATTATGAACATTAGACATTAGATTAACATTGAAAAATGTCGGAAAAAAGGTGAGCGGTGAGCGCTTACATAGGATACGGAGAAAACAATGCTGGAAAATGATAGGAATACTAGCAGCACACCCAGCGGCGTAACCCACAATCCAAGTGGGCAATGGAGCTTGTGGCTTCTCATTCCTGGAAACTGCTAGAACAGCTACTGATGCAACAATCTGACTTATATTGAAAACTAGTCTGATATAAACCCAAAAGCAAAAGGATGAGATAAAACTCCCATGACTTGATCCAGCAGGAGCTGGCTGAATCACAGGTACATGAGAAGTTCTTGATTCAACATTATTTCCAAGTTGGCCATCATTTGGTATATCAAGAACATGATCATTTCTCTCATGGAGATTCTCAGACGTCTGCTCCATTGATTATTTTTTAGTCGATTGCTTTTTTAATTACGGCAGGAGAAGTAGGCATAAGGTGAAAGCCTATAGGTTAATTGTTCTTCCTTTTCAATACATCATATCAGTTGTCAATATCTTTAGCAAACCAAAAAATTCAGTCCTCGTTTAAGCCTCCAATTTCTGTTGCATATATAAATTCATAAGCACACAAGACAACCAATGCTCCAAACAAAGAATTTATTCATAGAAATATATAATAATTAAAAAAGGAAACATAAATTATACATCTTTTTCTTCCTTCCCTCGATTTCATCAGTAATTCATCCTGAGCTAGGAAAAACCTCCAGGAAAAAAACAAGAGAATCTTCAATTCTAGTTACAAAAATCAAATGAATGCAAAAAAAAAAAACTTTTTTGGGTTATCTTTCATTTGTTTTCCCAGCAACCAAACATGTTTCCAATTTGTCAGGACCGAAGAAAAACAAAAACTCTTAAACTGAAGATGGTGATCACAAGTTCAAGACTTGTTGACTTGTTGAATATTTGGATTAAAACATGATTTCTTTTCATTTCCCCAGTTTTGTCAGCATCCAAACATGAAGTAAAAATTTTAACTTTAAACCAAGGAGGAATTAAGGAGTTACTCAACACCAGAATTGAGGAAAATAATAGTAAATTTACTTGTATAAATTTTAACCCAAACTAAAAGGACTTACAGTATCTAAATTGGGTTTTTCCCACTTGACCCTCCGCTGTTTGGTGAAAGAAAAATAAGATTTTGATCAACGTAGGATACTAGTTAAAGTAGAAATAGAAAAATATTAATAAAAATCAAAAACGGTGGGAATGTAGCCTAGTTCTTTGTCGTTTTGAGATTGTTTTCATGTGCAATTTACAAATCCAAACAGGGTCTTACTTAACACCACTCTTTTCATTGGAGTGAACGGTTTGAATTTGCTTTCCTAAAAACAAGAGCATTCTTTTCACATTGCCCATCCTTGTATTTGGTAATTATTTATTTGGAAATAGCTTTGTAACAACTCACACTCAATAACCTTTTTTTTATATAGAATTATGTTAATTTTATTAAAAATAGAAAATATTCAGAATTACAATGAATATTTACAAATATAATCGTAATCGTAAGTATAAACTAAATTATAATTAGGACATTTTGTTATAACTATTAACACAAAAACTAGTTATCTAGATCGCACAATGATCGAAAAAGAAAATGATAGAAAATCTAACCAATGCTAGAACAAAATAAAGATATTAACAAATCTGACTGAATCGACAAACGAACCACAAAAAAAAGATGAAACTACTGAAGATCACTAATAAATCGCAAAATCAGAATTAAGCGACGTGAGAAAACTATCCACCAATATAAAATGCGTGTCCAAATCAATCTGATGGTCCAAAAAAGGGAAGATCAACATGATAACAAATAAACTTCATCTTGATCAGTCGTGGCGATGTCAAATCCAACCCTGAGAAAAAAAAATGAAAACAACGACAAAAAAACCATAAACTACTAAAATATAGAGAAAAACGTGTCACAAGGACAGAGACAAACATGTCATAAATGTAGAGAATATGTCACAAAGACGTAATTTTTTTATGAAAAAAACTAAAAAAGAAAGAAAAAAGATAACCGACAGGTGACAACCAGCATCAAAACTATTGTCACCACCGGTTAAACAAAATTAAAGAAAAAAAAGTTAATTTGATTAATAAAATTGACAAAATATAAAAAAGAAAAAAAGAAGAGAGAGGAGCAGGAAGAAAGCGGCTAGGTTTTTTTTAATGATAGACAGATCATCGGTAAATTAAACGATAATAAATAATTGTAGAGTTATAGACCTAATATTATATATGTTCACTAAAATATTATAAATATAATATAAAATTCAATTAATTTTAAGGTTTATAAAAAGATCAAAATAAAGAGTCCAAGATGAGCATCCTATTACTCTTGCTTTGAAGATCAATGGCAAGCTTGGACAGCACAATGTGGAGATGCTCCTTCCTTGCCGATGTTATGTTTGTGAGTCATCCTTGTTTAAGATGATAATAGGTAAGAAAATGACACAAAGCCACATATCTTGTGAGACAGAGGACTTTAGGTAAGATGATTTGGGCTTTAGAGAAATCAATTACTCAACTATTGTCCATGCATCAGATTTCTATGTTTTCAGTTAGCACCCAGGCCACAACATCATCTCCATTTGTCTTGGACTATATAACGTATTACCTCTTTTTCATACACACTAATAAGCTTCAAGGTTGAACGTGAGGCCTGCCCAATTGGCAGATGACAAAAGGCATTGGCCACACCTATCTATAACTCAAAGTAGGCAACCTCCTTAATCTCATGCCTACATCAACACCCCCGCGTTACCCCTTACTTCTACTTTATTCACATACGGCTATCTGTAACTCAAGGATGACAAAGGTTGGTTGTCCCATAAAACTCTTTTTGGTGAACCACGAAAGTTGTGGAACAACCAACTGTTTTTTGATTTAATGCAACCCTAACCTAATTCTTGTACCATTCAAGTTGCATAAAAAAACCACATATATCTTACCTAATTTTTACAAACCTCAACATTTTATGCCCATATTGCTTACGGATATAGTTTAAAACCATTATCCTTAAGTTTATCCATGTGTGCATTAAAAACGATTATAATACGTTCATGAGTTTCAAATCCCAATTTTTTCTTACACCTGCTTCTGTCACCTTACATTTCTTTGTCTAATTTTAGGAAAGCTTTGTGTCAAATTTATTTTACTTCATATTTGGAATTTAAAGTTTAATTTTAAATGAATAAAAAATCTTTATACATTATAAAATGAGCGAAATGCTCTTCCTCTTTCTTTTAACATTAGAAAATAAATATTTATAACTAAATAATCTTATATAGAACAATTTTTTTTAAAAAAATTAGAGAACCAAAACCACTGCCCGGCGGCAGACCCTAGCTCCGACGTCATAATTAACTCAAAAGATTGGCACGAAAGCACTAACGGCTTTTGGAAGCCGTATAAATGTTTATTATCCACAAATAATCGACCCATTAACGGTTATAACGAATGTATAATATGTATATACCAGGTTTGCATGGCATGAAACCTGCAGGAAAATGAAATCCCCATAAAACAACCCTCACAACGTAGTATATAAAGACAAGGATCCAATAAAACATCTTGCCCAAACCCCCCAAGCTCCTTACAAAATATGTTGTTTGTGTTTACTTGTTTAAAATGTATACCTTTTCCTTTTAACAATATAATCTCTGAGATATGAACTTGAAGTTTCTTCTTGAAATTACAATATACTTTACCATTATACTTGATACTTGTGTCTGCACATAATGTGGTGCTACGTAACACAAGACTACCATGATTATAAGTTGTAGCTATTTGAGTAGTCAATAGTACAGTGATGGCCATGTATCAATAGCCTAAATATAGATGACATATAATTACTCATCCCTAGATTTGAGTGTGTAATATCTACTTATTGTCTTTGTGAGTGTCATCCATGTTTAGGTTATTGATACATGGCCATCATCATCACCGTTTCCTTGTATGCAGGACGTTGCTGGAGCAGGCTCAAAATCATCAATATCTCCATCTGCAAGCTTCTTGTACCATGAGGCAACAACCTTGGAGACAGGAGCCATTTTCTTTCTAGAAAGAAATGAATATTGGGGCTGCTCACCTAATCAAACTGTGGCTTGTTTTGCTACTGAATCGATCAATATGAAACTTGAATTTATACAGGGAGATGGTGAATAGCTTCTTTCTGCCACATGGCAAGCACGGGAAGAGTGTGGAAATTAAGACCAAAAGTGGTGTTATTTTGCGCAAGACCAAGTGCGGATCATCGGTCCAGCCACTTGGGATGACAGTTCAACAAATTCTCTCAT